TCTTGTCGTCTTTTCCACAAACTTTTCATTACTTCATTCTTATGCTTTTTAACACATGCTCGTTGTATAAGTGGCGAGTATAAAGCTGTACTCCTATTAGCATGTTGCGTTCGCTCTGTGTTTACAGCTGAGAGATGCTAAAACGTCTTCTTGCACGTTATGTTTAGACTGATCCTTCATCTTCTACTTCGTTATTGCACGAAATGCTCTTAGAGCAAATTTGTGTCGATATTGCCACTAAGTTATCTTAGAGTGGTTTAAGGAGTAAAAAAAAGACGGTCTAAACCTCTGACATACTGGACACCTCAGCACCACTTTATTATCAAAAACAGTTAGCGAATCTGCATGGGATTAGATTGTCGATTGATGAATTCGAATTTATTCCTAAAAGTAGCATCCATGCTTTGGGCGTACTCTAAATATTTTAACCTCGTCCCTAAAAATGGACACTGTGCAACTTTAAAGAGGAACCAGAAGAATCTCTTTTGCATTATAAGAGCTTGTACTTCCTCCCAGCATATGCTCTGTCGTTTGCAAAAATGCAAACGGAAGCATAAAAAAAGAAATTTTTACCGGAAAAAGGAATTTTTTTGAGGTGAAAAACATTTTGAGGCATTAACTTGATAACAATAGTAGTGACATTATCAGAAGGGCGATTGGTATGATAAAAATGTACCTGCTGATTCATTAAACACCGCCCCACCTCTATCAACTTCCATTTTTTACCTCAGACAGTAGGCGAGTCTTCCCCTCTCACATTTTTAATGCATCCAAAGTCTCATGGACTATGTTTGCATGCGTCTCAGGAGCAAAGTTGCAAACTTGCATAGCATTTCACTCCAGTGATTTCTTAACGACTTCCCGAACTAATCAGAAACCCTGACACTGAGTAAGCCAAATAACTGTACATGTGCATCGTTCACTTTTATATTAATTCGAATATTTAATCAGTTCTCTTATCAAACGCATTCGTACTTTCTCTTTAGACTGCAAGATCGGCCTAACTGGTAAGGAATCCGATGTTAGTGGTATTGTGTGAAGTGGGAGCACTAGCCGACCTAAACTTCTAGGATCTAAACTTTTGAGCTACGGAGAAACTTGGATTGTCCTCCTTGTTAGAAACTGACCCTGGCCGCTGAATGATTGATAGACCAACTAATAGGCTGAAAATGAGCAAAACAAAAACACAGGGATCAAAGCCCAATTTTACGTTTTGGAGAAAACACCTAATACATAAGAATTCGTACTAATAACAATAACACTAAAAGCGAAATCACCAAAACCATGTGAGCAGTCAGTATGGAGATCCTGTGTTAGCAATGTTACTAGAATGCTTCTAGGCGCCACGCACGACTTTGCCAAGCCTCTTCGGTCCTGGGCTGCATACCTCCAGTTAATACCCAATTCTGTGTCATTTCTTCATGGCCTCCCGAGTGGTCGTTTACTTTCTCGCGGGTACCACTCACTATGGCACGATGTCCATAGGGTGATTAGCACGCAGTCTACGGATTTTACTTCTTGGCCCTTTTCCTCCAAAATGTTCAGCAATAAAAAAGTAACCGAATTAAAACATAAAAGGATACACAAGAGAAAGGCGTGGTCAGCAGCAGCAACAGCCGGGGCTGCATTCCAGCTTTTTCTGCTCGCGACGGGGCTGACGGCGGGGCGTGGAAGGGCGGGGGCTAGCGCATCACAGAGCGAAATATAAATGCACTTCTCAGATTCCACACGCCCAGTTTATGCGTGCGTATGTATGTTCTTCGTCTGCTCGCTCTCACTTTTTCCAGTTCTAGTCCGAAACGACTGATAAGAGTTCACATGGATTTACATCTTCACAATTTCCCGAGTTTTTTAGGATTTTTACCGACTATAAAAATCACCAATCCAGAAATTCCGTTGAAAAGAATTGACAGTTTTCTCACTTTTCCACTCATATTAATCTTCAAGTTGTCCAGAATTTGGCAATATTTTTTCTAAAGATAGTGCTTGCCAAGTGATTAGATTATTATGTGGATTTTAAAAAATTGGGACATTCAAATTTTTTAAAGTTTCTAGGTTTTTTTCTGAATATTCTTCTCCTCTGTCGGTTATTCTCCTCAAAAAAATTATGATTTCTCTCATTTTGTTACTTGCGTTTTACGGTTATCGAAAATTTTGCGGAATTTTGGCATAAAATTGAAGCGTTTACAGATGAAACTGTCATATAAAATAACGCAGCTAAGGCGCTCACGTACTCGGCGGTGCCTTAGAAAACCGTATGATGATGAATTTGTTAAGGTAATTTTTCAAAAAAACTGGAAAGAATTGTCAGATTTTTATCAGATAATTTTAACTTTTTCTTCACTGCATGCGGTAGATGTAAGGATGCACTTGCCCTTAAGGCTGTCTGCGTTTCGCGACATTTTCATTAGTGCTCTCTCTTCTTATCAACGAGGAAGTTATAAGTACTCCTGGTGAGTTTTCAACAGACCGCGCCCATCTATCGGCTGCAAACTGCATCTGATAAATTACAGTCTTTAGTACTGGGTGTGAACTAAATCTAATTTCCACTTATTTTCTATTGAATCCCAACAAAACAGCCTGGTTTCCACTTTAGAAGTATCGTTGTTAAGTTCTAGTTACGCTCTGAACACAAGTAAAAAAAAGTTTTCCTCCTCAAAATTTCCTAAAAAATTGGTGTAGATATTCAATCTTAGTGGTTGTACTAGGAATCACTTGCACTCCACATGCGATTTTACGAGACTTCTCGTCCTAAAGTGCATAATATTTCCAGTTCGCACCCCTACTCATGGTATACATGATTCCTCTTGTGCACACACTGGAGCCAGCAAATATTTAAATTACTTCTACAATAAAATAAAAATTTTTAAATACTGTTAGAGATATAAAATAAAGATTGACTGAGACACTAAGGTAGATAATATAAAATAAATTAGTAATTTGGAATAAAACACTGATTTGCACAAAATAAAGCATGCCTAAATTAAGTAATTGTTTTGCCTAAAAAATGCAAAACAGAATCGGTACTAGTTTACTTGAAATAAAGAAAATGCTGGAAAGAACATTAATTTACGCCAAAATAGCATTACTTGCTTTTTCTAACTGAAGACAGAAAAACACAAAGTACTGATTCACTCCAAAAGAACTAAAAAACGATAATGAATTAAATTGCAGGAAATCGGTGCAATAGCTGCTCTGAAGGAAGTAGCGTCAAGCCCAGATGAAGTAGCAGCGAAATTCGCCAGCGAAGCGCTTACAGTAATTGGTGAGGAAGTACCATACAAACTTACGCAACAAGTTCCGTGCTGGACAATTGCTGATGTGCAGTACTGGGTCAAAAAGGTTCGAGTTCATCTCTTATTTGAATTTTGACTTTTCTTTACTCTTTGATAATTCAGTGCGTTATTGCTTCGCTATTGCACTTCTTGCTATTAATACATCTGGCAGTTTTTCCACTCTTCAGTTTTGCTGAGTTTGATGGATCCACAGTATTCAGTGGATGCTTACATATTGTTGATATCCCTTTCGGCAATTTTTTAACTTTGTATGGGTACCATTGAATAATCCAATTTATCCATTTGTTGTTTCCGGTCCCCACCACATAACCATCCCAACTTCTTTTTCCTTACACTCTGCCTTGATAATGTTGCACGAGTCGCTGAATTTTCGTTATTTTTGTATTTTCTTACTATCGGTGCAGTGGGCAGTCATTGATCAAATGTATAAAAGATAATTCAGTTTTTAATTACTCAACTTTATTAACTTCAACCAAATAACATCACTTCTCCTATATAAATGGTAAAATTCGTGTGAGAAGAAATAAAGTTTACTCTTACTTTATCAGCACCTAAAACGCTTTTTTAAGATGACCAGTATTCTTTTCCATGCATTCTATCATTGGTGCAGAAGTACCT